TTTTACATAACAATATTAAGTTGAGATCAGGGGACAATAACTTGATTCACAACAGGAAAAACATTGCCTATCAGATTGCTCTTCCATATGTAGTCACCAGAGCTATAGTCAAAGATGAATCCTACCAATAAGTGGATGGCAGTAAATGGGAAATAGGTAGGACATGATGACCCTCCATCAACCCCAAACTGCATTTCTTCCCTTTGAGCCAAGGTCATTTCTGATTCTGTGGCTATAAATTGCTAAACTAATCAAAATTACTTGAAGAAAAATCTGTTTGGTTCAAGGCTACAATCAGTTAATCTACTCCCTACAGATCAGTCACAGCAAGCATGTGAAAAACAAATATCCTTCCTAAAGAAGCCTACACTAATCTAACTATGACCAAGGATAAATAAATGGGTGAGAAGCTTTTTTCTATCTAATCTATGGTTACATTTATCGTCAGATCAAAAAGAAACTCCACTCAAAAAAATAATCAGCCATTTTCTTAACAGTAGCAACTTATCAGGCACTTTCCTTCTGTTTGGTGTTTGAAAGTGTGTTTATATCTGCTGCTTCCATATTCACATGACACTTGTTCTTCTATCATAATGAAAAACTTCTATCCCTCTGGGCTAACACAAGCAACCACCCACCCACAAACATGGACCAAGTACAAGACGATTAATTTTTCAAATTTCCAAATTACAACAGTTGCTAGAAACAAATTGTTATGAAAACAGCTATTTAAGAAAAAAATAAGTTTTAGTGCAGTTAAATTTCTATTAAAAATAACACTATATCAACAGAAGTCTTCATTTATTTTTAAGTGTTCAAATTGTTATTACACATATGCCATTTAACTACTTTTTATTCAAACAGTAAGATAATTACAGTTGGAGGGTGCATATTTCCAGTGGCTTCTCTGCAGCAGATACCACCAGAACAAAACATGAAACATTCCACATGGTTAACAATATGACATTTGAGTTACCAGAATTACAATCATCAATTTTTTGCTAACAGATCACATAAGAAGTACATAACTAGGGCATTTCCTTTAAGAGAAATATCAAACTTCGTACTGCATTTGTTTAACTTCAATATGAACATCTCTACATAAGAGCAACATTGTACATGACGGTTTGATTTAGCATACATATGGTACTTCGGCAGCTCTAACTGTGATGTATTTTTCCTCCTAAGCTCCACAGTAGGTTTAATCTATAAAACATATTGCTAATATGCCCAGCATAAATATCAAGAATCAAACGCATCTTTCTTTTCCACTTCAATGGGAAAGGGAGCAGTGTTTTTATCTCATATTACACAGTCTTTTCATACATGCACAGTTTTCCTCCATGGACACTTCTACATGTACCCTAACTACCATTTTGTCTGCAAGAAAATAATCTTTATTAAAAAAAACCCAAAAAAACTGAATTTTCTTCTCAAATTGGAAAGACTACAGCCATAGACAATTACATGACAAATCACTACCAACTATTTATTCCAAAATAACACTGAATGTGTCAAATTTATCAAGTAACCAGCACATCAGTTATCTGAGGTATAATGAATTCCCTCACAATTCAACACATCCCATTTTGAGTTCATTTGTGAAACTGACTAGTTTATTAGTTACCTTTTTTGTAGAACAGTCACGCAGATGTTAAGACTGGCTCAGGTAAAATATATGATATTTTATCATTATTACTGGTAGAAATATAACTGGCAAGATGGAAAACTATTTTTAAACACACAAGCTAAGTAAAATCAAACTGCCCCAAGTTTTCTTAAGTAAAATGGGATAAACATCTTCAGTAATTATCACTGCAAATTCAGCACAGGTGTTATCTATAAGAGGAACTAATAATTCTTGGTTAACAAATACTAATTTCTTTGAACATCTCTACTACCAGTTTCCACAAGAGAACTAATCACTATATTAAAACTTTTTCAGTTACTCCCCCAAAATGAATGAATTTAATTCTCCACCTTCCTGAACACAATTATATTGTACTCTGATACACAACTGCCACATCCAATGATACTACCACAGTAGTCTAGCGAGGACAACGTTCCCTCTATTATGATAATCGTGCACTTTAAAGTAGCGACATAAAAATTTTTTGGTAAAATGGGTGAAATCTGGTTGCAAAATTTCAGATTTAAAGGAAAAAAAATCATATATACATACAGCAAATAAAAAAACACCTAGAATCTGTTAATAGTCATCTGAAGCAATTTATTTCATTCACTCATCTGTGAAATTTTAGCAGATATTTCATATTTATTCTATTTGGTCCAAATACCCCTACACGCCATTAAAAGTCACTCAAAAAAGAATGTCATGCCCAAAAATGCAGCTGCTACCACAGAACATCTCTTCACCCTTTTATTCACCTGCAAGCAGTTCTTAAAAACTCAGATTTCCTGAGCTATACAAAAACAAATCTTAACTTTATTTGAAATATCTCAACAACAGATAAGTTAAAAAGCAGGTGGAGGTATCTGGCATAATATTTAAATTAAATAATATATATTTAATTTGAAGTCACCCTTCCTCACCCTTCAATACCCATTTGTACTGAATTATAAACTCTGCAGCACAGAAGAAGTCTGTGTATGGCACTTAACAGAACAGGACTTCCATGCATGTCCGCAATATAAACAAAAACCAAGCTGAGTGGTGCAGTTGACACGCCTGAGGGACAGGATGCCATCCAGAGGGACCTGGACAAGCTTGAGAAATGGGCCCATGTGAACCTCATGAGGTTCAACAAGGACAAGTGCAAGGTCCTGCACCTGGGTCAGGGCAACCCCCAGCATCAATACAGGCTGGGGGATGAAGGGATTGGGAGCAGCCC